CAGCCCATCTCCCTTTCAAAAATCTCCACTTTTTTTCTTAAAACTCCACATTTTTAATAGATGGGTTTGACATGGAGCTTAGAAGAAACCATCTGCAGCAGTTAAAATGGGGCAGTTTATGAATAGATGAAAGGAGGAAAGTATCTAACAACCTTAAGTTAAAGTTGCTCTCCTAATTGTCAATGATATTAATATTTAAAAAAATCAAATGCCTCATTGAATTATCACATTGCACTGTATTATCATGTTGAACAAAGGCAAGGAAAACCTTTTTAAGAAATACCAGAGCCTTAAATAGTGGAAGAAGAGCATGGTGCTGTGAACTTCAGAGATGTAGCCTCCAGGACAACACCAGGAGTTCACACAGATGTGTTAGAAATTCTGCCCAAACCAGCTCAGCACAAGTCACAAGTAAACCATAAATAGAGAGTAATTCAGAGGGAGGAGGGGGAGCAAATAGCCAAAGATATTGAGATAAACAATATATAATCATTCAGAGACTATACATAAAGCTGCATGTGTGTCTCTGTAGGCCCTCCAAGTCATTAAGGAATTGAGGATGCCAACCTTATGAAGTTTAATCATGCCAAGTGCAAGGTCCTACACCTGGGTCGGAGCAATCCCAGGCACAGCTACAGGTTGGGCAGAGAAGAGATTCAGAGCAGCCCTGAGGAGAAGGACTTGGGGGTGTTGGTTGATGAAAAACTGAACATGAGCCAGCTTCAGTGTGCGCTCACAGCCCAGAAAGCCAACCTTATCCTGGGCTGCATCAAAAGGAGCATGACCAGCAGGTCGAAGGAGGCGATCCTGCCCCTCTCTCTGCTCTTGTGAGACCTCACCTGGAGTACTGTGTGCATTTCTGGTGTCCTCAACATAAAAAGGACATGGAACTGTTGGAACAAGTCCAGAGGAGGGCCACGAGGATGATCAGGGGACTGGAGCACCTCCTGTATGTAGACAGGCTGAGGAAGTTGGGGCTGTTCAGCCTGGAGAAGAGAAGGCTGCGTGGAGACCTCATAGCAGCCTTCCAGTATCTGAAGGGGAGCTATAGGGATGCTGGGGAGGGACTCTTCATTAGGGACTGTAGTGACAGGACAAGGGGCAATGGGTTAAAACTTAAACAGAGGAAGTTTAGATTGGATATGAGGAAGAAGTTCTTTCCTGTTAGGGTGGTGAGGCACTGGAATGGGTTGCCCAGGGAGGTTGTGAATGCTCCATCCCTGGCAGTGTTCAAGGCCAGGTTGGATGAAGCCTTGGGTGACACAGTTTAGTGTGAGGTGACCCTGCCCATGGCAGGGGGGTTGGAACTAAATGATCTTAAGGTCTTTTCCAACCCTAACTATTCTATGATTCTATGATTTTCAAGAAGCTGAAGTTATTATTTGTATTTGTCTTCACTAGAGTGGAACATTTTGAAATCTACTGAAATTATGAGTGTGATACTATAAACATTTCTGAAGAAGAGGTACGGGAGCAAGTTCAGAAAACCCAATCTGATGAAGTTAAAAGAATCCAGAGTGTTCAAAAGCTGAACTTCAGAACATAGTGACTGGAAAGAGCTTGCAATGCAACTGAAAAACAAGGGTGTTTCCCAAGACTAAGGAATTTCCCTGTTCCAAAATATGAGTCAGAAATGAACACAGGTAATGCTGACCCCAGGGCCAAGGATGCCACCATGGATGAGCTTAATTTGTGCATGCAGGATCAGACCAGCTGCAGCTCTCTCCCCTCAAACCTTCCCAAAAGTCCCAGTGAATTAAGGGAGTAGGAGGTGTCAGCAGGCTTTCAAAAAGCTCTTGACAAACCTCCTCATAGCAGAGCAATGGGTCACACGACAAACTGAATTAGTACGCTGTGTTATAAATGGATTAAGCAATAGGAAACAAATAATCTCGGTACAGCCCTGAGTTACAATGGTAAATGCTAAACCCCTGGTGATTTGAAGGTTAACCCTCATGTCTTCCTATTTCCACTAAATCTATTTGCTCATTGTGAGGTTTTATGAAGAGGCTGCCTGAAGAAAAGGGGGAACATTTACCTTCAGGAAAGCTGGGTGTCTCCTTAACTCTGCCACCCCCAGGACGACACTGCTAAACTGAACAGCCATCGCAAGGTTCGTGCTAATACATTATCCATTCCAATTTCTTTCTATCAGGGACTTTATTTCACACCTTATTGGCTGCAATTTTTCTTCTGCTGTGTCATCCTGGCACCTCATAGCCTGGTCCGGAAAGCAGAGCAAGTGAAACAGAGAATGCCCAAGGTCTGATCCTGTTCCTTGGTTGATTTTTCACCATGATTTAGAGAGCAGTGACAATGTGTTGCTGAAGTTTATGCACGCTGCTAAGACTGAAGGGCAGCATAAATTATGGAAAATGGTGAGCGGTATTAGTAGATCACACTTATACACCCTAGGCAAGTAAAACGTAGTCTGAAGACTACAACATAACGTGTGTAGCTGAAATAACAGTTTCATGATGTGAAATGGCATTCTCTTTGCTTGGTGGTTTCAGGAAAATTCAGTATAGCTTGCAGAAGGCATCCCTCCCACCTCTCATAGGATGCAGGCAATGACACTTAAGCAAATAAAATAGCATGAGCCATGCTAGACAAACAGACCGACACACCTCAAGACAGTTTCAGACCTCTGTATTCAGCAGGCAGTATCTCCTGTGTAGAGATCATTGCTAAACAAAGGCTCTGATTTCAGTTTTGTTTGATGTTTGCTATAGCTGGAGCAACAGATGAAGAGACCCTGGGAAAGCTGATGGAAACAGAGGCATGGGTGACATTAGGTATGGAGAAAGCATGAAGAGAAACAGGCCGTATCCAGCAAAACATGCATATGCCCATGCCCACTACAAGCTGCTTGCTTACAGCCCTCGCTATGCTCCCAGCTTGCCCGGTGCCTCTGCCTCGCATGAAAGGGGCTCATGGGGCTTGAGAGCTTTCCAGCTCTCAGCCTGTGAACAGCCACTGGACTCATTACTTTTTCTTCACAGAATGTGTCTGCTAACCAACCCTTTTGTCCCCCCAAGCTCCTCCCTTCTCCACCCCACTGACCTGCAGCTTTTCACTGGTCTTACAGCACTGACCCCCACTAAAATGTAGTGGTGAGCCTCCACATCGGAGAGCATCAAGCAGGCAGAGCACCTTCTTGTGGGGTGCCAGGCTGGGGCAGAGGTGCCTCACTGCTGGACTCTTAAGGCTGCAGGTCCACAAAAGTGTGGGGTGCTCTGCCCTGTCCCCAGCCTCTCATTCCCATCCTCCCTTTGCACCAGCTGTGATCTCCTTTGATCTTCTGATCAGCTGGTTTAGGAAGTTAAGCTGGCTATTCCTCCAAAGAAACGCACAGCCACTTTAGCTCCTGAACGGGCTTACTGCAATGTCAGACAAACACCAGTGCCTGCCGAAGGGGCAAGTGGTGGGGTAGAGATGGGAAAACATGACCAGAGGGAAGAGTGGGATGAGAGCAGTGCCCACAAGGACTGTTTGGAGCTGTCTCAGAAGCACACCCTTAGGTACCATTCTGCTTGCCATCATCAAAACTGAAGCTTGTCTGTGCCTGTGCAGCAATGACAGCCTCAGGTCATGAAGGCAAAGCTTTGAGATGAAAAACCTACATGGTTTGGGCACCTCTTTGTTTAGGAGGCACCTCTCTCAGGGTCACATCTTTAGGTTTAAGCAGTTAGGCCCCATGGGCAGTAGTTAAGCCTTTTTTGGATCTCCTTTACCTTCTGGTATTGCTGTTAAGATCCATGTGCTGGATTTTAATAACCGTTCTGTGATATACACAGAAGAAACCCACTCTCAGTGGGGAGTGCAGAGAGGATTATCATTCTGCTGTAACAGAGCCAGGATCACTCCACAGTGATGCTCAGTGTTATTCAAGGTCATCAAAGGATGCTTTGAAATTTTCCTTGCATTGTTGCCTGGGAGAGCAAGCTGGAGTAAGCTGGGAAGGAAAGGGAGTCTCACAGGCATTGCCTGTTTTCACAGAGTAGCCCAAGAGGAGCTCCTGCTACTTCATGAGCAAATGCTGGAAGAGCAGAAAGAAACTGGCACCACTGCTGCTTTCCATGAGCCTCTCCTCTGCCCCGTTACTCTGCCTGTCACTGCCCTCTCCTTTGCAACTGTGGGAGGCACATGGCCAGGCAGCATCCTCTGCCTGCAGGCAGACCTCTAACTCACTGGGGTGAGTTGCACTGAGGAACCTACCCAAACCTCTTAGCAGGACAGAAAGCAGGAGCCACTGCCCTGTGCCAGCAAAATAAATCTACCCAAAGTAATAGTTTTGCAGGTGGGGGCTGGGAAAGAATTAACTGCTTCAGTTAGGGAGGACTCAAGGGGAAGGGAGTGGTGGCTTGAGTATTTTTCATCTAGACAATTAGGTCTGCTCCTCGGGGCAGTGGGTGTTAGGCCAAAGCTGGAAAGCTTTCCCTAAACTAGTAAAGCACAAAGCTTTCACACAGTGTGTGCTCAGCCCCAAGAACTTCCTGGTAACCCAGGTTATTTGAGGCAGATTGTTGATTAGGATCCAAGAAAGGATTAGAAACTCTTTTGAGCATAAATAGTATTTGCAACTGTGTGAGTTAAGCAAACGGATACAGGGGAAATCAAACCCCACGCTTCAGGGCATAAACTGCTCTCTTGTGAGTCAGGATCATCCTTTTTTTCCTCTACGCATAGCATCTCATAATTAGCTAGGTGCTTGCTGTGGTTTTGATTTGCTCTGAAGCATCAGTTACTGGCCACTGCCAGAGGCGGGGTGCTGGGCTAGATAGACCTGTGATGTGTTTCTGTAGGGCAACCCTTTTGTTCCCATATTGGCAAAGCTTTGTGGGAAAGCTTCAGCGATATGTGTCTTCAGCAGCTCCTGGTCTTACCAAACATTGGCCTCTCATTTCCATAAGCACTAAAGTCAGTCTGAATTGTTACAGAAGTAAAAAGGCAAAGTTTCAGAAGGGTTTATTTATCTACCTGGTACAGACAGCATTTATTTACTAAATGCAAAGATATTTTTAGTATCTGCATGGGTCATTTTTGCCAGGAAGAAATTAATTATTTTCTTCATTCCGTTTCAGCTGCAAAGAAGTTACACAACTCGCAGAAGGTTTTGTAATTTGAAAAATACATATTTCTGTATGTGTGTGCATATACACATACACATATATATATATATATATAAATATAAGTTGGTCCAATAAAAAGGTCTGAATTACTAGCATTTCCTTACAAATTAAAGGCAGGCAAGGACCAGTATGCAGGTGACAGAGCATGCACTAACAAAGTCTGCCTTTCCACACTGCCTCTTTGATGTACCTCATCTTTGCCCTGAAGGAATTTCATTATCCTATGGTGAGCTGGTAATGAAATCTGTACTCAGAATCAAGCCTTCATAGAAAACGGTATCTTGGCTCTTTGTTCTGTACAGACTAGCTGTGTGTGGTAGGAATATGTTTCTATTTGTGTGTGATCTGAGTGTACTTTGAATACTGATCTCCAGATAAAAAGGATAGAGATCCAGTTTGACAAAATATTAAATGCCTCTATCTTGCTTTATCTAACAAAATTCTGATGCTTATTATCGTGATGAACATTTGGGGCGATATTCTTAGTGTTCAGCATGTGTGAGAACAATCTCTCTGTGGAGAATCCAATGGAGTGTCAAAGACCCTGATTTACAAAGAGTGCAGAGGGCTCTTAAGTACTATTTTTAGAACAATGCCACAACAGATTTACACACAGAGAAAAACCCCTCCTCTACAGTCACTTAGGAGCAAAGTAGCATTTCACTGCATAATAATGAGGAATTAATTGCTCTTTGTCATCACTTTTTATGCAAATTGCCATAGAACATTTGCCCAATGTGCATTTTACCTTTTAACAAAGAAAGTAGTCATGACAAACTAGACCAAATTTCATAAGCTAAAGACAAAAGTAGGCTGTGCCACACGTAAATTGCAGCTAGCAAGTCTATTCCTTTGAGGAACTCTATCAACTTCCCATGAAAGTCCATTAAAAAAAAAAAAAAAAGAAAGCAAACGAAAAAGGTTTCTTGGCCTACACGTCTAGTTAAATTAAATAAATTGAATTAACTTCAATTATTAGATGACTGACACTTCTTCTAATGGAATTTGCTTGTCAGTCTTTACAGCATTTGCTTATTTTTTCCTTTTGCTTGGAATAATAACCAAATATTACCAATTTTGTTTCTTTACCAGCTGCTTTCAAGCTTTTACTCGTATTGTTACTGAATTTCAGACATCGCAGGATGCCAGTTGTTTAAAAATGTTTTGTTGGGCTTATACTTAAAAATAATAAAAAAAATATTATCAACCTTGTGTCTTACCTATGTGTTCACAACATTTACATTTAGACTAAACTGACAATTCTTCTGAGAAAAAGAGAATTGCAACAGCTACAGAATAGCATTTCCTTTCACTGTAAAAAAGGGAAATACATAATAAATCACCTTTGTTCTACATGAAGCTTTAATTTTTTAGCCATTCTGCAACTGCCACTGCAAATTTGATGCAAAAATTAGATGGCAAACCAGGTCAAAATGTAGACATCCTAATGGATTGTATTGTGTCAAAGCATTTTCTCCAGAAACATCTCAATGTTTTCTTTTCCCTGAGAAACACAGGGAGGATATCTCTGCGCAAGGAGTTTCTGTCTCGCATGTGCAATGAATCAATTCAGTGAACTAGTGGGTCTTTTCAACCTCTAGTTTCTACCAACTTCAAACATAATAGCGAGTTCCAACAGAGTCCCTTTTCTATTCATATGCTATTCACAGCAGACCTTTGTAGTTCACAACTTCAAGTTAACATAGCAAAGAGCAGTTTTAAATCACTCCAGTAATCAGGGGTCACAATTACTTGCTGTAGCTGCAAAAAAAAAATAATAATAATCACACACATGCTGCAAGCCAATGCACTCTGCTTGCACCTTTACGAAAGAAAAATAACAGAGACTTGACCTCTGCCTTAAGTGCTAACACTTCAGCAACACTATCTATTAATCAAAAAACATATGAATGCAGCTTATAAATCCCTCTGCATGGAAAGCACCATCTTCACTCTTACAGAAATATATTTCCTGTCCCAGTCCTTGCTTGAAGTGCAAGAACATCCTGCAGTCTCTTTGAAAAAAAGTAAAAGCAATGGATGTGAGAACTAAATAAATCAAGCAGTTGTTAGTTATTTGAGTGGAAACCCAGAAATTTGTTGCTGTCCCAAGTTTTTTTGTTAGCATGAAAGCTAAAAGCAAAACAAACTGCCTTAGCAAAAGCCAAAGACTTCAGCATAGTAAATGAAGCACTCCAACCTGCCCTCGGTACTTCAGAGTGTCAGGGATTTAGCCTGGAATAAGAAGTCAAAAATATTCCAACATGTGCTCCAATGCTATCAGAGGCAGTGGAAGCCACTGTGTTGGTACAGTTAATGTGTGCTTCCTAAGTGCCAGTACACCTGCACTTTCCATGTTCCCCACCTGCTCTCCTGACTGTTCTTCTCTGGCTTCTGTTCAGCCGGGCAACATCCTCAACCTCCATGAGCCTTCTTATGCTCCAGTCAAGTTTCAGCTACATGAAGTAAGGGAGATGTTGCCAGAGGCACAGAAGAAGCCGGGCATCCAGTCAGATATCCGACTACCACTGCCAGTTCTGAAGAAACTCCTTGTGACTTCCTTCCATCAACAGCAAGATGTCCTCTGCTGTGGCTCCACAGTCCAGCCTGGAGGGTAAGAAATGTATTGGACAAAGCCCCAGTTACAGTTATCCATTGAAAGCAGAATCATGGGTGCTAGAAAGCCTGAACTGTTACCAACTCAGTATCTTTGTTTGTGAGTAATAATTACCTCAAGGCTTTTACTCTTAATTAGTGGTTTTGGGTCTAGTCAGCCACTGGTGCATGTGCATAAGCTTTCACTGATGTTAAAGACTATGTGGAGCAAAGAGTCCTTAGGAATAGTAAGTTCTCCCCATGGAGTAGTGTTGTGGGTTTTTTTTTTTCTTACCCATCTTCTGTTCGTTCCCAAAATCATGACTTTGAATTAAACCTCACCAGATCACTGGTGTCCTTTGACATGTCACAGGAGAGATATGGACTGCTCAGAAATATCTCTGTCCTCTTGAATGTCTCCTGCCTGATATTTACTCTCTAGAGCACAAACACTGCTCCGACACATCTGGGTTAACCACCACGTGCCCTCCTTATTCTCCAGTCCCTCCCTCAGCAGTGCTCAAGAGAAAGGATGTTTTTTTTTTACCCTTCTTGTGCATCCCTTGGTTTGCAAAAGGACCATGTTGCCAACACAGATGCTTTGTCCACACTTCCACATTTTGCTGCAGATATTTTCACTTTTCTGGATAGCTGGAAAGACAGAGGGTTGTTGGGGAAAAAAAAAAAAGATTACAAGGCTTTTGAGCAAGCTAAGCTAAAACAAGGTTGAGCTTTGTCCACAGTTGCCCTCAAACAACTTTTGGAGCTGATTTGCCTGATTCTTAGTGATAGGGGAACATGAAGTGAGGTTTAAATACATCATTATGAATGTCCTTGCTTTTGCAAGCAGGCTCTGGGATCATCCTGACCTGCAGAATCAGGGAATTTGCAAGATTTGACCTTTAAAACACTAGAAGTATAATATAGTTTTTCATTGTATTTTAAAATACAATTCCAAATACAAATTCTAAAATGTTATTCAGAAATTGTAAATAATAAATATACTAAGTAAAAAAAAATAAAATAAAAATGAAAGCAGTAATCGAGATGATGATGATCTCAGAAGGTGGCACTGATTTAGAGACAAAATGGGCAAGGACAAAGCCTTGTCCTTGCTGGCCATCTCCAGGACTCCCTGTGGGCTATATTTGGACTGCCTTTCAAGACACCGAACTCCAAGAGACCAGAAGGATGATAGGATTGTGTTCGCTTTAGGGCTGAAAAATTCTGACCTTCTTTAGAACCAATAAAAAGAGTAACCTTGAGGTCATTCATCCTATCTGCCTAGCACAGGTGTTGCAAGTACTTTTCCTGTATTATTATGTCAAACTGAAGTCTGGCAATCTCAGCAAGCAGGTGATCTGAGCAGTTTACTTCTCTTTTTTTTTGAAGAAGATGAACACCGGGTAGACCCTACTTTTTGACTTAGTGACCACAAAGCATGTTTTGGACATAAGACATAAACCTTAATGATTCCTGACCCTTGACTTCTTGACATACAAAGTCAACAGCTCTTTAGATTCCCTTTCTGTTATCTGCATCTATTTTTTTAAAGGTCAGTGCCTGCCATTTTTTCCTGCCTTGCCCCAGCACTATAATTTTAGTCCTTGCAACAACACTTTGTTAATATTTCTATATATTTCATATATTACATCTCATCAGCTCCTCAAAATACCATGCTGGAGATTTTGCGTGGCAAATGTTCCTTTGTGGAGCTTTTGATGTGATGTCAAGCCATGCTGCGGAGACATTATACTGTGGATCTTTGATACCACACACCATGACAGTGTCTTCTTCACAGCCGTCACAGCCACTGACTCAGGGTGTGCTGTTCATACTGCCAGTGCTCCTGGAAACGCAATGTACCTGGGGTGTGTTAGAATATGGTTGCGAAAAGACATACAGTGCCTGTGGTATAATCAGTAATCAACTGTGAATTTCTTAATCACTGCAAAGAAAATGATGCAATTTCATTAATTCTACCTTCACAACCCAGGAGAATATGTGCATAATTATTGATAATGACATAGGTCTGTGCACAGGACTGGGGCTGCTTATCCAGGGAAGTTGATCTTTTTCACCCAAATTTTGCAGGGTAAAATGTACTTCAGAAGGAAATTACAATTGCCTCAGTTAAAACCGGCAAGATTTGTTTTTATTTTTCCTTTTTCACTTCTCCATTACCATTGTAAAAATCAAGTTGCATAAGATCTGCTAACATGTCACTCATTCATAGAGTCTTCCGAGTCAGAGCGGTTGAAGCTGAGACGGCAACAAAAGTTGTTCTGTATAGTACTTTCATCTCTTCCCTTAGAACTTTAAATTGGGAATTACCTATCCCCAGGAAAAAGCAATTCGTTTTTATAAATACGTGACTGAAATACCTTGCAATACACAGAGCTCTCCAACAAGTGGCACTATTAAGACTATTCAAGTAACGAGATTGATATGCAAATGAGGTCTCAGAAAGGGATGTTGGGACATGTTTTACAATATTGGATTCCATTTAAAATCTTTTAAATTTACATATGAAGTATGATTGAAATAGATATTCATAATGCAGATACTCTGGAAAGTTTTGTGTTATCCATAAAGAAAACACTGAAAAGTAGGTCAAGTGCCATAAGCTCAACCAGGCAGTCCTCTCAAAAGTGATGAAGTCATGGTGGTGCAGAGAAGCCACCTAATTAAGAAATTAGTAAAGGTAACATGTAGCGAGGAAATCTGCCCACAGAGTCGAGCTCAAACCAGCTGTTCATGTGCGGGTCTCAGCTTTCCTCAAGGATAGCATTGTAGCATTCGCAACAAGCTATCCCTGAAGTATTCATGGGATAACTTCTAAATTGTATCTATTCACGTTTTTTCTACCTCATTTTGTTGTCGTTGCTTGACAAAGTTTGGCTGTACTTTAAGAAAAACTGTCCAGAAATAGTTACTTTTACACAAGATTTGAGGTGTGGAGCCAGTTGATTGCAATAGAGACAGGATCAGCCTGGATTTGTTGCTGGAATATAAGCAGCTTGGGAATAAGTTGGGAAGCAAATGAGTTTTAAAATGTAAGACACATGATATAAAAATACCATTTTTAAAGAGTAGGTTTCATTCTGTTGGTGCAATATTTCTCCTGCCTTTGAAAATCAACTCTTGTTGTTTTTTCCCAGTTTTCCGGTGTTATTTATATACAGATAGATAGACAGAGACCATAATAAAATCACAATCTGAATTATATAGAAGAATCAAGATCCTGTCTTCCATTATGAGCTGGTCAGAAAATTATTGATAGTATTTGTGTACCAGAAGCTGCATAGAGTTGTTGGGTGAGTTTTCACAAAGCCTGTGTGCCCAGTCTCTGCCTGGCTTTAGCTTCTTTCCATCTGTGCCAATCTCAGTCCAGCACAAGCAGGATCTGGTTCACACTAAAGTCACTGCAAATTTTATCACAGGGTAAACAGAATAATAATAATATCTGAAATAGATGCTTTCACTTCATGCTTCCTTTAAGCCAAATAGTAACATTCATTTTAAAATGTCGGCCAGTGAGATAAATGGCAATTATTGTGCCTTTCCGAAACATGTGGTATGGGCAGAGGCGTATCCAGAGTGCTTTGTTGAGTTTTCTATTTGGCTGGCTTTGACTACCTGGAGCGGTTATCTCCCACACTGTGTTGTAAATAACAGAATATGTGCACTTTGAATGCCGTGGCATAATGGGCACGTAGCGTGCTAACTAAAGCATTATAAATGCTGTAAGGCTTATTTTTATCTCTTCGTCCTTCTCAATATAGTATTTTTATCTCTCACGCCAATACAAAATTATTTTTGTGTCTCTAGGAAAAACAAGGCAATGAGGAGACTCAGTCTGCTAGCATTTAAACACATGACAAGTCCCCTTACACACTGTGGGACTTTTCACATGCTTAGCACCATATATGTCTGCAGAGCCAGAACTTAAATGGCACTGGTGAGCAAGGCTTTATATGAACATTGCTTGGAGAGGGAAAGTGAAGTTTATGTGTCAAATTCTCCAGTGGGGTGCTGTTCTGTAGCCATGTGTAGCTAGGAAAAGTAAAAGGGGTAAATGCTATTGAACTAAAGAGCTTTTTGCTTTGCACAACAAGACACCCGTGCAAAATGCAAGCCAGGGCTTCCAAAAAGTGACAATACATTTGTTGCTACATACAGACAGTTGATTTTGTGTTGGCATGCAGGATTTGCAGTTTTCCACAGTCTAGCAGGCTTTGAAAACACAGTTAGCCTGGTGGAGCTGCTGCAATTTCAGCGGAAGACATGAGTGAAATAACTTCATAGAAATTGTTCCTCTCTAAAAGATATGGAAAATAGTATACATCATCTGTCTGCAGTGAAAGGGGGAAACAGAGTATGAAAAGGTACACTAAAGACTGACATAAACACAGAAAAAACAACAAACATGCACATGTTAATGACTGAATGCGCACTTGTTAGCAGTAGGTCACCATCAATCTTTATTGACATTTACTGCAACCACAATTCTTTTTTCAAGACCATTGACCCAGGAAAATGTAACCCCCTTAGTTATCCAACACCCTTTAATTAGATGTCTCCAGAGACAATCTCACTCACAACCCCTATCGTGAATCATTTATTTTCTAAATTTCCTTTTTCTCAGCCACCCCACATCTTTATGTTTTTCTGTCCTAGCCCAACTTGAGCAACTTAGGCTTGCAGAATGCAGTTTATTAATGTACTAGTTCCCCTCACTGCATTTCATGTCTCATGGCATTTGGGTCTTGCTCGGAAGCCCTGAGAGCATCACGATGGTTTTCTGGAATCACAGCTTTCTACTTGGCAAAAGGCACCACAGCGCTAGGCCTCTGGGCGAGAAAGGGCTGGTAAACAAGCACCTTACACTTGTTGGGATAGGGCACAGCACGGCCCACCCTCTGGCGCCGGGAATGCTTGAGGGGATTTTGTTTTTGTTTTCAGGCTCCGGAGCACTTATCTATTCCTGTGACGTTCGGCAGGGCTGACTCATGACTGCTGGACGCTCGCGGTCAGCATTATAAGTAGGATGAGGTTTCTCTTTGGGGCGGAGCGCATAAAATACCACCACGACCATCGACACCCAGGCTGCGCCGGCAGCGAACTGTAACAGGGTGGGCATTCTTCACCATGCCCTTCACCTTCTAGTTCACGGCCAAGCCTGGCCAGGGTAGCGGGTCCCGGCTTTCCCCCGGGGAAGTGCCCGCCGCCACACGACACCCCGCCACCCCCATGGCCGTGGCCACCGCGGCGAGGCGGGCCGGCTCGGCTCGCCCCCCCCCCCGCCATGCCGCCGCCTCAGCGGCCCTTCGCGGCGGAACTACGGCTCCCAGAGCCCCCCGCGGCCACCGGCGCGAACCCCAACTCCGGGTCCGGCGCCACGAGCACACACACAGCTCACACTGCCCCCCCCCCACCGGGCCAGCAAGCGGCAGAAAGCCCGCTCCGCGCATGCGCCTCCCGTCGGCCAGAGGGGCGGGGCGGGTGGAACGCGAGCGGCGCCGCTATTGGCGGAGCGGCCGTACGCCGCTTTCTGTGCGTAGCGTCCGGGTCGGCTGAGGGAGCGGGCGCTGCGCTGTTGGCGTAGTGCTGTTGTGAATGGAGCGGGCGGCGGGGCGGGGAGGATGATGTCAGCCTGCGAATGTCAACAATGTAGCGATTGAGGGGCGGCGGCGGACGGCAGAGCCGGGCAGCAGCGGCCGCGGCAGCAGGAGCAGCGCCGCCTCCCCACCCCTCCTCCTCCGCCGGGCTGCCGCCGCCGCTGGCCCCGGTGCCGCTCCGGCAGCGACACAACCGCCGCCGTGCCGCTCCCCCCCCTCCCCCGACTCCCTCCCTCCCAACCCTCCCTCCCTCTGCTGCGGCTTTCTCTCCTCCTCCGGCCCCCCTGCCAGCCCCCTCCCTCCCTTCCCCCTTTATTTTTCTCCGCAAGACTTTGGCTCTGGAAGCAGCTGGTTCAAAGCAATCGCCATGTGATGAGCGTCTGGGTCGGGATTTTTTTCTCTTTCATTTGGGGGGGGGGAGGGTGCAGGTTTCTGACTGCAGAGAAATACTAATAAGAATTTCCGAAACAACAGCAGCAGCAACAACAAGAGCAAACCCCCCCCTCCCCAAACCTCCTCAGCCCTAACAGCCTTTTACCCCCACAACCCGGGCCCGCTCCACCCCGCCTCACGATCCCCCCCCCTTTTCCCCTTCCCAAAGCTGCAGCGAGAGGGGCGACCCCCGAAAGTTGCGCGGAGGCGAGGTGAGTGCGCCTGTTCCGCGGCTCGGCAGCCCCGCCGAGGAAGGGAAGGGGGAAGGCGGAGGGGAGGGGGGGGGTGTGAAGTTTTGGGGGAGGCTGTCCGGGAGTGTGGGGGGGCAGCGTGGCTTTCCTCCTCCTCCCCGAGCAGCTGTTAGGCGGGGGGCTGCACCCAGCTCCGGGGCAGCCGCGGGCTCTGCCGGAGGAACGCTCGCTGCTTATTCCTTCAAGTGGGAAACGCACACGTTGCGTAACGGCGAGTGCACGGCAGGCGCCCCAGCGCGCGTGTGTCCGCGTATGCTCCGCGCCGCCGGGCGGGCCGGGAGCTTCGGGGCAGCCCCTCCGCTAAAGGGCCGTCCCGCCACCGCTGCCGCCTTCCTCCGGCCCCGCCGCCACCTGCAGCGGCTCGGGGCAGGGGGACACCGCGTCGCGTCGCACCCCCGGGCGTGCACCGTGTTGTGTGTGTGTGTGCCCCCCACCCGCTGTGTCCCCCCAGCCCGGATTTTGTGGGTTCGGAGGGAGATGCGAACTCCGATAACAGTTTCTTGGATCATTAAAGCGTAGCGTGTAGGCAAGGCAGCGCGCCGCGAAGGCGCTGGCTGTCATGAAAGACGCTAAGTGTGAAATCGTGCCTCTCCTTTTGTGGAGCGGGCTATTTTTGTAATGCGGCGGGGTGTCTTGCTTAAAACGCTTCGGTTATCGTGAGATCGTTGTGCCCTGCTCGCTGGGCCCCGGCAGCTCCGGAGTAAATCCCAGGTTTCATTCTTTATTAACAAACGCAAGACAGAGATGTCCTCTTATTAGAAATAGTCTTTAGGCTGTTGGAGAAAGATTGGCAAATTACTGTGTTGCTGTTTGCTCTAGTTGAAGCCGTGTCTGTGTTTTCGCGATTAAAGCCCATTTTTACAGACTTTGGAACTGTCGCTAAACTTGTGCATATTTTAATTTGGTATTCTGGGGCTCGAGCTAGAGACAAGTCGATGTTTTTCAGCCAGGGAATTGTCTGAGATTGTGCTGTAGATGGTGGAATGCTCTGCAGTTTAAAGAGGGTGGTGGTGCTTAGGTAAATTGACTTCTTCAGGTATGTAAATACTGAAATTTGAGATAATTGTATTTGATGAGATGAATGGAATAAAGCGATAAGGTTGTGTGTTAAGCTGTTGTCTATGGGGCTGTTGTAGCAACAGCCTCACACCAGCCTTACACCAGCCTTCTAGGTGCCTTTACATCTGACAGATAGAAATAAGATTCCACTTCAGATGTGGGCGCGTTCATTTAAAAGCCTGTGTTGCCTTTTGTATCGTCCCGCCCGCCCCCCTTTCACACCGGGATCTGGGCGCTTGTGCAGCAAGATGGATCGGCGTCGGACTTCCCTGCGGTGTGTCGAACCTGTCCTTTCAGCGTCGTTTCTCACATTTGACCCTCCAGCTTCAAAGGCTGTTCTGAAGGTCTCAGCAAGGAATGGAGGGAAGCCGTGACTAATTGTAAAAGTAGAGGATCGGAAAAGCAGGAACATGCGTCTAGTTTTCCTGCTGGTTTGCTCTCTGAACACTGGATGAGCCGTTCAGACAGATGTACACCAGTGCGCTGTGCTGTCAAGCACAAGACAAGAAAGGTCCCTAATGATTTTGGAGATTGTCAGAATATTTAAGAGATCTTTTACAGAAATGCTCTGCAGAAGCAGAGTGTGCATTGCTGGGCAACTCTTCTGCGTAATTTGCAGGTTAAACTAAAATTTCTGAAAACTTTTACAATTGCAAAGATTGGATGGGAAAGCTGCACACAGCAGATACACAATTGATGCACGTGCTGATGGATCCCAACTGGTTAATCATCAACAATTGTTTATGCCCAGGTATCCTACGCAGGGAAACAGTGCTAGGACAGGTATTTCTAGTCCTTTTCTGACCCTGAGGCGCATCTGGAATGTCTGTTGGTATTAATGTCGTGCACGCTGGCAGGACACGCTGGTGATGTAGGTGGGACCTCTTCCTCGCCTTCCTTCTTTGCTTTCTGTCGTTCATTTTGCAGCAAGAAGACATCAGCTGTTTGCTCTTCTGTGCTGAGCGTGAAGGAAAGTTAAGAGATGGCACTCGAGTTGCCAGCCGAGAACATCGGTCCAAATCCCAGTGAACAGGCAGTGTTATAGACGTGATGCTTCTAATATGAGGAGACTCTGGTAAATCTTTGACATTGTAGAAGCCCTCAGAGGCTCGTTGAAATGAATGAGTTTAATAAAATTTCGATACTGTACAGCAATCTCGCGTATCTCTTTCTGCATGTGCATAATTAACAACAAAGAGAGCTGAGACTAAAACCCTCCTTACATGATGTGTAGCGTGGAATATGTAACAGAAGTTGCTTGCCCTTCCTTATTTTAAAAGTTTCATTGCTTGATTTTCTGTTCTGATGTGCAATAGCAATTTTTTCTTAATAGGCTGCGGTGTGATTGCTGGTTAGTCATTTTCCTCAATTTTTTCCCTAAAAATACCACCAGTATTTTTATATAAAAAAAAATCAGTTGCATTTTTTATTTTTTCATGAAATCAAAAAATAATAATAAAAAAGATGTTTTCTGATTGTGTGCCTGTGGCATTCTTTTTGGGTAGGACTTCACATATGCACAGATAAAGAGGCGACCTCTTAGAGCGTAGCTAAAAGACATTTATGGCACTAAGCAGAAAAATGAGATGTGTAACATAAATATATGTGAAGTAATCATTACAGTAGTAATGACATTTTTATGTAATAAACTGTTGATGTAAATTGAATAGCATTTTCTGTGTGATGTGAACAGTCTTTTGTGATTTTAATTTAGGTGGTATGAACACGGTTTATATATTCAAATCAAGATGTGCATGCCTTTTTAATCAAAGGATTGTTATCTGAATGGCTTCGTAGTTTACAAGTTGCATGAACATACCTGTAGTGTTTAACAGATCCTGACTTACATTTGCAGGAATGCATGCTTCTGTCTTTCATGTCTGGGTCTGAATTTTCAGCTCAGCTCATTTTGGGTGTAATGGTCTTATATTAGTTATTTCTGAGTTTAAACTCTTAGGGGAAATATACCAATGATTCCATTAATGTGTGGAAGAAAATCAGGATTTAAACTTACAGCTTTCATAAAAACTAGAGCTAGTCTTGCTGCTTCCAGCGTTTCTCCTGACTACAGGCGTTTGAGGAGAATGTAGAAGAGGGTCTTTCTGGTATTTCAGTTCTTCACTGATATTTGAGTAGTTGCTTAAATGATTTTGCTGTAGTAGCTGAGTGGGCAGTAGTTTTCTACCCCCAGTAACTCCCTGAGGTCTTCCAGAATAGTGCTCAAACTGCTTATTCAGCTTTTTGCAATAAATGGTCATCCTTCCTTTAAGTTCAGTCAGAAGATATTAACCTTGGCAGCTGCCTGAATATTACGCATCCATTTTGGCGCTTGTATCACGAAGGTGTAAAATTCATGAATATAGCCAGCTGAGTTGCAGTGAGTTCATTTTGCCTTTTAGTTGGGCAGGAACATCTTTGCTGTGTATTGAAAAGAGGACTGGTTACTGTGTTACTCTTTGACTGTGAATTACAATTTTAGAGCAGGGGAGCAGTGGAATGTATACAAATCCCTCCCTGGCTGTGACGGACTTTAGGCCCCTGAGTTAACTAGAACTAATAGTATTGATTGAAGAGCAGCCATATGTTCAGAACAGGTAAACAAAAAGGAACTGGGGAATACGTCTGGGAGAACCTTTATGCTCAAAGTTTGTGTATGGCAGTAACTTTGATCTGTCAAAAATCGGTCTTGAAAACTCTTCTGCTTGATTGTATTGATCTTAATGCAGAAAGAGCCCCAGCAACAACCTGAAGAACACCAGCTGTGCTGCACTGGCATCTCAGCAGATCGATAGATTTGTCCCTTTTTAGTGTGAAACAGGTTGCTTCCAAAGGCTC